CCCTGAACATTATTCCAGCAACAATAGCAGCGGGTGTTCAGACCTTGTCCAGATAGCGCGGCAGCAGAGCCCGGAGGAGGAGGGACGAGCACTCGCTGAGCTCGGACGGCTTCACCACAGCTGCGTTTCCTGCAGAGAGAGAGCACGAGTTTCTGTGAATGGAATGAGATCACTGAGTGACGCAGAGCGGAGAGTAGGAGGCTGAGAATGCTGACAACCTGCAGCTCACAACACCCTCACTTTCTCTGACGCACAATGCAAGATTATCAGACATGCATATTGCAAGTCATTATCAGTATTGTGTTTTTGTACATTTTTCGTTTGATGTTAACTCAATATGTAATCCCTTAATAGGGGTATATGTATTAAATGATTTAATAATACAATTGCAAAAAATATTTTATCGCACATTTAACTTCCTATTGTTATATAAATATATCTGTCACAAAACCCAATCTCCACTGGAATAAATATACAGGACAATTACGTTTTTTTTAATAAGGTTTTCTGATTCGGATTCTGATTATGCTTAATTCAGGTATATTATTTCCTCTTATAATATCTGATTATATATTTAGGAATTGCGTAAATTCCTCAATATACCGCTAAACAAGTATATTATTTTCACTATCGAAATGCATTTATCATTCCATCAATGGAAAACATGAGGATCACATGAAGCTGAACTTGACTTCTTGAATTGCGATAAAGGGCAAATTGATATGACACATCTAAACTTTTATTATCTGATGTTGTGATACAAAAGAAAGTGGTAAGGCAGTTCATTTGATTCCCTTTTTACTGATCTACATTGTTCTTGCAAGGGAATGCTGATAAATGTTATGTCTTGAAAAATAAAAATACTTTTCTGTGCTGTGACTGAAAGTCAGAATACCTACCCACAGCAAAAAGAAAGCAATTCATAACCCCCCCTAATAATTTGGTTACGGCTAAGCAAGCAGCGATTACACCTTTATTATTTTATCAGCGCATGGACTTTGGTGGCCTCATAAAACTCAATGGCCCCACTTCAATTTGAGCAGAGAACTAAACAGCAAAGATCGACAAAGTGATGGATGTGCAGGGCCTTCAAAATCAGTGCTGTGCATTTACTTTTAAGTGCCCTGTTATGCTAATTTACATGTTCATATTTGTATTTTGTGTCTCTACTGTGACATGTTTCCATGCTTTAATGTTCAAAAAGCTCTTTATTTGTCTAATACTGGGGAGAGTGTGGTAGAGCAACTCCCTTGGAAACGTTGGGATTTTAGCCTTTGCAGACCATTTACATGCACAAAGCCTATATAACAACACACTACAGGAAAGGAAAACCAAAAAAGCTAGGACCTCTTTAAGTGTAGTACTTGAGTAAATGTATTAAGTTACTTTCCAATATTGATAAGCTTAAGAATATAGTATAGTATAGTATTTAGAGGTACAGGGGCAAAAAGGTTCCCTACCAGCAGCAATGGCCCCCACCAGGGGCAGGAGGGTCAGGGCCCAGGGGTAGTTCCAGGCCCCGATGATGAGCACCACCCCCAGAGGCTCCGGCTGCACGTAGACCTCATCTGATATGGTGAGGAGGTTCCTCTCCACCGACCGAGGAGCCGCCCACTCCGCCAGCTTCCCTATGGCCAGCTTGATCTCATTCTCAATGCCAATCAGCTCCAAGAGTGGTGTGTCATACTGGCTCTGTAGAAAACCCAACACAAACACATTAACATTGTAACATGTTACATGTAGGAGTGTGTTGTGTCTCCACATACCCTGTTGATGTCCTGTTTGAGGGCGGTGGAGATCTCCGTCTCGTTCTCAGTGATCATCCTCTTCAGGCCGTGGAGCTGCTGCAGTCTGAACTCCACGGCTCGGGCCCTCCCGCTCAGGAAGGCCTCCCTGGCCCGCTGCACCGCCTGCCTCTCCATACACACAACTGCAGCAAAGAGCCTGGGGAACTGCACACAGCAGGCTGCCTGTTGGGAAAATACAGAAACAACAGCGGTGACAGGCCAGTGTCCAACCATGATCTTCTGTCAACGTGTCCTGATTTAACTTCAGTTTTATAAAGACATTTTGAGGCCCAGAGTAAACACGTGTTTAAACTAAAAGGTTACCATTAAATAGTACAAAGGAAAGTGATGAATGAGCACTTAACAGTCTTATTTAATCTCATAGTTAAAGTAAAAAAACAAAAAAAGTCTGTACTGTTAAACAGTCAAGATTATGCACTATATATTTGCCACAAAACAACTAGTCAATGGTTGTAATGCGCAAAACAATAAAACAAGGGACAGCTGTAAGAAGATACTGAATTTGGTCAAACATAACGTCTGCAGTAAAGGAGCTTTTAAAAGAAATTAGGCTACAAATCAAAGTACAGCCATACAAAATATGTTGTCTCTAAACAAACTAACAAACAAATCGTCTTTAAAAACGAACAAAAAAATACTTCTGCTTTTATTTGATTAAATACCATTTGAGGTACTTGTACTCTACCCGAGTATTTTCATTTTTACAACTTTAAACTTCTGCTCAACTGCATTCTATGAAAGCAAATTTTCTAGTTACTCCACTTCATTTACAGATGTATTTTTTTACTTTATACAATTCAGAATTTGACACATAATACTGAGGAAAAACTATAAAAATATGATTACTTTGTAAAGATTAAACCATCCAATTTATTTAGAAAATTTAGTTATCTTTATCAAATGCTTTCAATGGTATGGATTTAAGCATTTGATAAAGATAACTCAATTTTCTAAATAAATTGAGTTATCTTTATCAAATGCTTAAATCCATACCATTGCACTGTTTTGAAAGTAAAAGCTATCATAAATAGTCTATAGAGGTAAAATTGTTATTTTCATCAGGTGTGTTGACTTCTTAGCATAACTGCTGCCAATATATTTTCTGTTAACCCACTCGTGGTTTAAGTTACATAAATAACATTTAGGATGGTTTAATCTTTACAAACTAACCATATTTTTATAGTTTTTCCTCAGTATTATGTGTCAAAAAGTCTGAATTGTATAAAGTAAAAAAATATATATCTGTAAATGAAGTGGAGTAACTAGAAAATTGGCTTCCATAGAATGCAGTTGAGTAGTTTAAAGTTGTACAAATGAAAATACTCGGGTAGAGTACAAGTACCTCAAATGTAAGTAGTCTACAGTAGTCTATTTGAGTGTACTTAGTTACTTTTCACCACTGTGTACCCTCATAGCCCTGTTTGCTTCAGTCTACAATGTGAGTCTCTACCTGTGTTTACTAGTGAGGTAAATGGATCCAAACGGCTTGTTAGGAAAAGTTTTGATGCTTTTATGAGAATTTTCATGGGATCTGCATCTGATATTGGCAAAACTCTGAAAACCCTCCGTGTTGACAGGCATATAGTTACAGGAAGCCTTATGAGGTTTCTCTCTTATAGTTCAGGCTGAGCAGACATGACGTAAATACCGTGCATTGAAAAATAAACTGTGATGTTAATGGTCCTTTTTCTGCTCAACTCTGCGATCTTAACGCGATTGTATCGAATATCATTTATTCGTTCGATTCAGAAAAAGTGAGAAAGAAAAAAATAACACTTACCTACGCGCAGGTCAAATACACATCGAGTGTATTCTTTATGAAATATGAATTGATAATCCGCCAGTGATCTGACCTGAAAGCGGTTCAGATGTCCGGCACTGTGCGGGCTGACTCACTGACTGAGACTCAGTACAGACAAGCTGCTCTGAGATCAGTGTACTGTAACTGCTCCATTCAGACCGCCTCAAGCAGGGAGACCCGAGATAACATCACACACACACGCACGGACGCGCACACGCGCGCGCACACACACACACACACACACACACTGGTGCAGAGTAACTAAGTACATTCACTAATAAATAAACTAGTAACTGTACTACTTTACTTAAATTGTGAACATAATTTAAAATAATAACAAATAAATATGTAAAGTAGGATTACAAAATATCGTCAACTAGAAAAACTAATATTGTTATTTTAATAATTTCAAATTATCCCAAGGGTGAAATTATAAAGCCTATAAATAAACATAAATCAAACTCATGAATCACTTCTGTACAAAATGGAGAACGGTTAACAAAAACTCAACAGCGAAACAATGAATTATAATAAACTTTTAAAAAAATGTTTAATTGCACTGTGGCGCACAATACAACTGTCTTCATTAAAAGCATACAATATATTCACATTGTGATGGATTACCATGTTAAAGGTAGTTAGTTTGTGTATAGATTTTCATTTTGTAGTGAAATGTATGGTGACCGACAGGTGCAAACAAGTTACAAACGGCCCAAAACATTTACAAGGCAAGGCAAGGCAAGTTTATTTATATAGCACTTTTCAACACAAGGCAATTCAAAGTGCTTTACAAAAAATGAAAGACATTAAGAAAAAGACATTTAAAATCAGTCATTAAAAAGAAAAGCTAATAAAATAAACATTAAAAGAAAAAATACATGGATAAAAGTTACAGTGCAGTCTAAGATATGAATAGTTCAATCAAAAGCAGCGAAAAAAGAAAAGTCTTCAGCCTGGATTTAAAAGTAGTCAGAGTTGCAGCGGACCTGCATGAGGAGAAACGTGCAGCAATCAGTTACAATCCAAATATAAAAACACAAGCAAATGAAGAAAAAATGTTGGGCCGCTGTAACGCGTTTGAACCTGTTGGCCACAGTAGACATGCATCATTGCTACAGAGTTATATTAGCAGTGGTAGAATGTTTTATAATTTCATGATCTAAATAAAAACTCTGCAGGTTAAATATAACACATAAAAGTGCTACAAACTTGATGTAAAACAATAAAAACATCATTAGCAGCTGAAGAGAAGTGAAATGCCATAAAAACATATATTTAAAAGGACCAATATCAGTCTACGTGAATTTGAAATGTTATGGACCAGTAAATCACATGAGTGCTGTATCAGTCAGGAGTCCATGTCCGATGTCCCAGGATCCCCAGCAGCAGCGGAGTCAAACTGCTCCTCAGCCCCACTGCAGGAACCTCTGCAAGAAACATGGAAGCAATATTGAGTACAAACAAAGATCCAAACACTTTGAAACACACGGAAAACAGATAGTTTAACTTTTCACAGGAGCACAACAAGTGTAGATGTCAACAAAAGGTGGTGGTGGGGTGGAGCGAAACAAAAGGGCCCATTTAGCAGGGGAGAGTGAAGCATGCTGGGTAATAAAGGGAGGCATGATGAGGGGGCATTATGTGGTTAGAATTCCTGGACAACACCACACATTGTCTGCAGGAGACAAAGCCATTGTTGTGTGAGGGTACAGGCCAGTAGGATGTGTGTGTGTGTGGGGGGGGGGACTCATATCTGCGTATCTTGAGAAACTCCATCTGACATTATTTAAAAAGGTTGTAAATAGACACATATTCTCACTGTTTAAGTACAATCTCTGTAAAATTGTTTCCATTGTTACGTAGCCATTTCAGTAAAACATTAACGTTTCCTGCTATAAAGGTGAATATGTTCTCTAATCAAGCCAGCACTTATAAATATGAAATACAGTCTTCCGTTTTAACCTTGGCTGAGACAATAGGGCCAACAAAGTGTGTACATTATTAACAAATAATTAGCACCCAAAAGATAACTACATGTTGTTGTGTTAGCAGGACACTAGTGACATAATGGTTGTTGATCAAGTGGGATTAAGGTCTAATGTGGGGGGAGGGGCAGAGGGCAACTACATAGGGCAACATACATCAGAAATATATTATAATGTGGTGACACAACACTCATTCTGATAGTGTATAAGCATTTTATTAAACAGCTTAGTTGAATAATCGATTCTGATTGGTCAATTTGGACATTCTAGAGGTTAATTCTTGCTAACAGACTGCTGCTAAGGAGAACAGACCGTTGCTAAGGAGGATCAAGGGACTGTGTGCATTGACTGCATTCATATCAATCCGCAGAAAGAAGTCCGGTAAATTGAACGTAAATTGTGGACAACAAACATTAGTTTGCTCCTTCAGAAACACCTTACTAAAAGTAAGTACCTGCAAACGCCATCGGACCTCCACAGCTAATTCAGAATACTGCAGCCCAACTGGTCTTTAATCTCCCCAAGTTCTCCCACACTACAACTCTCCTTCGCTCCTTGCACTGGCTGCCAGAATCTACTTAAAGACACTGGCACTGGCCTACCGAGCTGTGAAGGGACCAGCTCCTTCCTAAATCTAGGCCTTGGTTAAACCATACACTCCAGCACGTGCACTTCGCTCAGCGCAGTGTTGTAGTCAAGTCACCAATTCACAAGTCCAAGTCACTCTCGAGTCCCCACTTTTCGAGTCCAAGTCCGAGTCGGAGTCCAAGTCCGAGTCCAAGTCCGAGTCACCCAAGGAGTGTCCGCTTCAAGTCCGAGTCATCATTACCTGTGTTCGAGTCCAAGTCAAGTCCGAGTCGCAAGTCTTCATGTATTAATCTTAGTGGATATATTTGTTGAAATGTAGCTCCTCCTCTACATTGCTTTTATCCTGTCATGTTATACTAATTTGAAGTGATTATATTTGTATGCCAATATTTTCTTATGATAAAGTTTTCATTTTGCACGTTTATTTTGATAGTAATAAGATCGGGACTCTTATTTTGAAGGAACTTTTACCGGAAGTCAATGGACAATGCAGTGCAGAGCCATATAATGGCTCTGGAGCAGTGCAGCGCCATGGAGCAGTGTAAACACCAAACACACATGTATAGAGTGGCAAAGTCCCTTCCTATTCCGGTGGACCTCCATGGGACCTTATTTCGGGAAAATTATGTATTGAAGTCAATGGAGAGAGAAAGATTATCTTTCGATCCCGTTTGAATTGTGCCACGAATTACACATATGATGTTTGTCAATTTAAAAGATAAAAAAAATGTGTCGTAAAACTGTTAAATAACAAAAAAAAATGTGTGAAACGGTCAATGAACTACATCTCTGGTCTTGCACAACAACACACGTCACCAAGATGGCCGTCACTACTGTCTTGCTAAACAAGGGATTGTCTACCCTCACTATCACCACAATGAAACACGTCCAGAAGAATGTCATGCAAAGCTGCCTGCCTGCCTTCCTTTGATTCTCTCTGAACTGCCTGATCTTTTTAATGTTTAATGTCAACCATTTGTAGTAGAAAAGATCGGCGATCGCCAATGCTAGCGTTAGCATTTCTCCTCCGGGCTTAAATGGTGTATTATAGAATGATCAGTGCTGGAATTGGGCCGGTACTCACCGGTACGCAGTACCGGCACTTCTGGTTCTGACCCATGGAGTACCGGCACTTCTTGCTCAGTACCGGCATGCTGGCGGTACTCCGGTACTCATGCACCGTGCCAGTACTCAACACTCTCCCGCCGTTCTTATTATACATCCATATATATATATACAGCCGCCCGGTACTCAGTAGATGCGTCAAGAGGTGCCGAACGGACATTCTCATCGCTCTAACCGCTGGAGTTTCACAGCGGCTGTCAGCTGTTTACTCCTGTCATTCAAACAGAACGTGCTGGAGAGGGGGCGGGGCTTATCTTCTCCATGTAAATACTGTGGTGGAAACGACTATGTCAAAATTAACCTATTTGACCGTGATTTAATAGTAATACACGTTTCAAAATAATAATAATAATAATAATGCCGAAGTAACAACATACTGAAAACTGTTAGTAAAACCATGTTTTAATGCTTTACAATTTACATACCTAGATGCACGTGTGTTGTGTTTATGCAGTGCAACTCCCACCCAGTGGGTGGCTATGTAGAGTGATAGAACAGAGCAGGCACGCCCCCGAGAGAAGGAAAGCAAGTCACGTCACAAATTAGCATTTCTAAAATGTTAGCGTGGATTAATAAAAGTGCAAAAAGACAGCGGTTGTCGCCGGAAGAAACTTCAAATACAGAGAATGCTGTGCCTGTGTTGGAAATTGTGTCTGATGGGGAGCTTTCTTTGGTTGATCCTCCTGCTCCAAGTTCTAGTGCATTAGCATTAGCACTAGCTCCGCCGCCTCCTCCAGAGCCTCTAACGTTAGCTGCTGCTGGCTCAACTGCCACCACCAACACCGGGCAAAGCGATGCACCTGACTGCTGGACAACGGACCAGGTGCAATATTTTTGCAAGACCAATGCATGGCTCCTTCTTAAAGATAAGAAGCTAGGATGTCGGATATGCAGAGATGTCAAATCTTTGGGAATACACACTGGACAAGGACTGAAACTGTCAACTGAATGGGGTGAGTGTGCAGTGTCTCATTTCGGTGTTGACAAGGGCAAACAACATGCTAGCCTGAGAAAAAAAATCAAAGAACATAAAGAATCACAAGCCCATGTAAAAGCTGCTGACATCCTTACATCTGCTTCACGTGAAACTATTCAACATCAAGTGCAGTCTATGCATAAATCTGAATTAGACACCACTATCAGAGTTTTTCGAACGGCATATAAAATTGGCAAACATAGCCGGCCATTCACAGACATGCCAATTGATTTGAATGTACAGAAACTGAATGGGCTGAACGTGGGCAGGGTTTTGCACTCCAATAAAACCTGTGTCGAAATCATCGACCACATAGCTCATGAGCTGAAGAAAAAAATGGCAAAAGACATTACAGAAAACCAAAGAAAACTCTGTGTTTTGGTCGATGAATCTACCACTATTAGTGGTAAAACGGTGCTTGTTGTGTGTCTACGCTCAGCATTAGCTGATGTTGAGCCCGAAACGTTTTTTTGGGAGCTGATCGAGTTGGATGGAACAACGGCTGATGAAATCACAAAGGCGTTAATGGAGTGTCTTGGAAGAGATTTTAACGAGGACTTTTTAGGTCAGTGTTTCGTTTCTTTTGCATGTGATGGGGCTTCAGTCATGCTAGGGAAGAGAACAGGCGTTGCTACCCAGTTGTGTAGTAAATTCCCAAGCCTGTTTGTGTGGCACTGCTCCAATCATCGTCTAGAGCTGGCAGTTGGGGATGTGGTCAAGGAGGTCTCAGGGCTCAATCATTTCCAGATCTTTTTTGACAAACTCTATTCCTTGTTCCATGCCTCCCCCAAAAATCAGAGGCAGTTAGCGCAGTGTGCGCAAGCAGTCGGACAGCGTCTCCTGGTGATAGGGCGTGTTTTGTCCATCCGCTGGGTGGCTTCAAGTGAAAGGAGCGTCAGAGCAGTCTGGGAAAACTACTGAGTGCTTCATGATCACTTCACAAATGCTGCAAACGACACGAGCAGGGATTCCAGAGACAGAGCAAAGTACAAGGGCCTGGATGATGTGCTCACATCTGCAACGTTTGTCAGCAATCTGGGACTGATGTACGATGCGCTCACAGAGCTCAGCGACCTCTCTCGGCAACTCCAAAAAAGAGAGATGACACTGCCTACAGCAGATAGGCTCTTAACTCGAGAAATACGAGTTTTTGAATCCATGGTCACCATGCCTGGCCCACACATGACTACAGTTCATACAGCTCTAGCTGAGAAGTCCTTCAAGGGTGTTGCCCTGCGTGAGAATGGCAGGCTTGTACAGATTCATGCAGGTCAGTTTTTCCGCAGTATGGTAGAGAATCTGAGACACAGAATGACTTCCACAACCTCCTCTCTTGTCAGCACAAGAGAAATCCCATTACATGGCCGGGAGGCCCGGGACAATCAGCTAATCCAGGACATGAAAGTTATCCATCCTGGAAGTTGGCCTGAAGAGGAGTTAGACGTACAGTATGGGGACGTAGAGGTGCTACGTTTGTGCGAAGTGCTGAAAGTGGACAGAAGAGAGACTGTTCAGGGCTTTCGTGAATACAAGGAAACCAGGGCATCCCGTACACCTGCTGCCATGGAGCCTCTACTGAAAGCAGTCCGAACCATCGCTGTCTCCACTAGTGAGTGTGAGCGGGCATTCAGCTGCATGAACGATATCCTTACTGCAAAAAGGAATGCTCTCTCTGTCAGCCGACTGTCCAGCCTGGTTTTCATTAAATGTAATGGACCATCACTAGGACAGTTCAATCCGGAACAGTATGTGA